GAAAAGCCCACAGCGTATATCATCCTCAATGGGGAAAAGCTGAGAGCCTTTCCCTTAAGATCAGGAACATGACAAGGATGCCTATGGCCACTGTTGTTCAACATAGTACTAGAAGACCTAGCAACAGCAATCAGACCACAAAAAGAAATAAAAGGTATTCAAATTGGCAAAGAAGAAGTCAAACTCTCTCTCTTCACAGATGACATGATACTTAATATGGAAAATCCAAAAGACTCCACCCCCAAATACAAGAATTCATATAGCAATTCAGTAATGTGGTAGGATACAAAATCAATGCACAGAAATCAGTTGCTTTCCTCTACAGTAACAATGTAACTGCAGAAAGAAATATTAAAGAATCGATTCCATTTACAATAGCACCGAAAACCGTAAGATACCTAGGAATAAACCTAACCAAAGAGGTAAAAGATCTATACTCTAGAAACTACAGAACACTTTTGAAAGAAATTAAAGGAGACAGAAAAAGATAGAAAAGTATTCCATGCTCATGGATCGGAAGAATAAACATTGTTAAAATGTGTATTCTGGGGGTGCCTGGGTGGCTCAGATGGTTAAGTGTCTGACTTTGGCTCAGGTCATGATCCTAGGGTCCTGGGATCCAGCCCTGCATCGGGCTCACTGCTCAGCGGGGAGTGTGCTTCTCCCCTCCCTCTGCTTCTCCCCCTGTTCAGGCTCTCTCTCTATCTCTGTGTCTCAAATGAATAAATTTTTTAAAAAATGTGTAGTCTGTCTAGAGCAATCTGTACCTTCAATGCCATTGCAATGAAAATACCAATGGCATTTTTCAAGGAGCTAGAACAAACAATTCTAACATTTGTATGGAACCAGAAAAGAGCCTGAGTTGCCAAGGAAATGTTTAAAAAGAAAACCAAAGCTGGGGGCCTCAAGTTGCTTGATTTCAAGGTATATTACAAAGCTGTGATCACCAAGTCGGCATGGTACTGGCAAAAAACAGACACAGAGATCAACGGAACAGAATAGAGACTCCAGATATGGACCCTCAACTCTATGGCCACGGTTAACTAATCTTCAATAAAGCAAGAAAAAATACCCAATGGAAAAAAGACAGTCTCTTCAATAAATGGTGCTGGGAAAATGGGACCATTACATACAAAAGAATGAAACTCAACCATTCTCTTAGACCATACACAAAGATAAACTGTAAATGGATGAAAGACCTCAATGTGAGACAGGAATCCATCAAAATCCTAGAGGAGAACATAGCAGTATCCTTTTCGACATTGGGCACAGCAACTTCTTTCAAGACACGTTTCCAAAGGCAAGGGAAACAAAATTGAAAATGAACTTTTGGGACTTCATCACGATAAAAAGCTTCTACACAGCAAAGGAAACAGTCAAGAACACTAAGAGGTTACCCTTAATGTTACTCCCATGGAATGGGAGAAGATATTTGCAAATGACACTACAGATAAAGGGCTGGTATCCAAGATATATAAAGAACTTCTCAAACTCAACACCCAAAAAAATAATCATATCAAAAAATGGGAAGAAGGCATGAACAGACACTTCTCCAAAGAAGACATACAAATGGCTAACAGACACATGAAAACATGTTCAACATCATTAGCCATCAGGGAAATTCAAATCAAAACCACACTGACATACCACCTTACACCAGTTAGAATGACAAAATTAACAAGGCAGGAAACAAGAAATGGAGAGGATGTGGAGAAAGGGGAACTCTCTTGCACTGTTGGTGGGAATCCAAGCTGGTACAGCCACTTTGGAAAACAGTATGGAGGTTCCTTAAAAATTTAAAAAGAGGGCTACCCTATGACTCAGCAATTGCACTAATGGGTATTTACCCCAAAGATACAGATATTGTGAAAACAAGGGGCACGTGCACCCCAATGTTCATAGCAGCAATGTCCAGAATAGCCAAACTGTGGAAAGAGCCGAGATGCCCTTCCACAGACGAATGGATAAAGAAGATGTGGTCCATATATACAATGGAATATTACTCAGCCATCAGAAAGGATAAATATTCATCATGTGCATCGACATGGATTGAATTGGAGGGGATTATGCTAAGCAAAATAAGTTAAGCAGAGAAAGTCAATTATCATATAGTTTCACCTGTATGTGCAATATAAGGAATAGCATGGAGGACATTAGGAGAAGGAAGGGAAAATTGAAGGGGGGGAATTGGCGGGGGAGACACACCATGAGAGACTATGGACTCTGAGAAACAAACTGAGGGTTTTAGGGGGAGGGGGATGGGGGATGGGTTAGCCAGGTGATGGGTATTAAGGAGGGCACGTACTGCATGGAGCACTGGGTGTTATACGCAAATAATGAATCATGGAACACTACATCAAAAACTAATGAAGTACTGTACTGTACTAACATAATAAAAAAATTTTAAAAACTAAAAAATAAAAAAATAAAATATATTGACAAAAAAAATTTATGCTATAACTTGCTGCACATGTGTACACTATATCACTGTTGGCAATTGAAGATCAGAAACAACTTAAATGTTCATCCAAAGAGGATTGGTCTATGATATATTCACAGAATTAAATATTCTATTTGTAAAAAAGAAGGAGGAAGCTCTACATTTTTGTATGGTATAATCTCAAAATTTAAATTAGAAAATAATTTGGAGAAGTAAACAGACTTCTAGGTATGTATATATGAATATGCATTGCTTGCATATGTTTAAGTTATTTCTGGAAGGATGCAAAAGAAACTTATGATTTGGTTGCCTCTGGGGAGAGGAACTGAGTACTTGGCTGGAGAACTAGCACAGGAAGAATAATTTTCACTGTAAACTTTCTGTACAATTTGGATTTTTAGAGAATGAATGTTTTTTTTTTTGTTTTTTTTAAGATTTTATTTATTTGAGAGAGAGAATGAGAGAGAGAGAGAGAGCATGAGAGGGGGAGGGTCAAAGGGAGAAGCAGACTCCCTGCTGAGCAGGGAGCCCGATGCGGGACTCGATCCCGGGACTCCAGGATCATGACCCGAGCCGAAGGCAGTCGCTTAACCTACTGAGGCACCCAGGCGCCCGAGAATGAATGGTTTAAAATACAAATTTAAAATGACTTAAAATGATCATGCATATTACTTATTTTTCATGTTATTTATAAACATTGTATCAATTAATAACGTAGATGGCATTCAAAATATGACTTATGTGTGTTATGAGTAAAAGGAAAGGAGATTTAAATACCATTATTGATGATGTACTTCTCAATGTCAGTAAGTTCCTTTTTGAAACTAATAAAGTATTTGTATAGGGCCCACATGAAAGCCTGGTATGTCCTAAAGGGAGCTTCAGCCAACTTCTTAGGAAGAGAACCATTTCCAGGTAACATGCCTTCAGAGCTGTGCCCCATAACTTCATCGATGAACTCCTGGAGTCGAAATACAACCTGGCCATATGCTGCTATTTGTTCTAGCACTGATCGTAAACAGCTCTATAAAAGAAGCAAACCACAAACATTTGAAGTCTTCTAGGAACATTCAAATACATATTCCTTCACTAAAATATTTATGACTGTTTTAAATAGTATGCTTAATATAAGAAAAATAAAACAAAGTTTTATACTCAAAGTAAACAATGTAAGCATTAATTTCTACAGAATATAGAATTGTGGCTTCTACTTTTTAAAACCATATATAAGGTAAATAAATGTACTACAAGCAAAAAATTTATAGTACACAGCTTCCTAATACAGAATTGACAGAATTAAAAAGCAGAAAATACAAACTGAAACTAAATGTAAATATAACAAAAATATTAAAGAATTCTCTAGCACTGCAAAGATGCAGAATTTAATTTTACCTTTTGGATCTTAAGTATATTTAATAATTAATTTTAATATTGCAAAATGTTTTAAAGTTACAGAACCACAGTTTACATAAATCCTATTATTTAATATTAACTACAATAAGTACAAATAACTTACATGTGTCAAATGAGTTACTATAATACTGTTTCTCACAGTTACCTTCCCATCTATCAACTGAAATATAAAGAGTTTTTTTACCCCCGAAAGTAACCTGAAATGAAATAAAAAAGATGAATGTACTTTAAGTCTACAAAAATATTCATTACACTAATGTTTAAAAAATTCTTTTCTTACATATTTTTATTTAAATTCTAGATAGTTAACATATAGTATAATATTGGTTTCAGGAGAATTTAGTGATTCATTACTTACATACAATACCCAGTGCTCATCATTAAGAACTGCCTTTCTTATTAGCCTATACCCCACCCATCTCCCTCCATCAACCCTGTTTGTTCTCTACAGTTATGAGTCACTTATGGTTTGCCTTTCCCCCCTTCTCTTTTTTTCTCCCTTCCCACACATTCATCTGTTGTTTCCCAAATTCCACATATGAATGAAATTATATGGTATTTGTCTTTCTCTGACTGACTTATTTACTTAGCATAATATACTCTTAGCTCCATCCTTTTCATTGCAAACAATGCTTAAGAAATTTTAATGAAAGATTCAGAACTGGGGGTTGGGGCAAAGACGTCAGATAATTAGAAAACAGAAGGCATCAATCTTTTTAATGGATTACCTTAAGACTCAAGATATTTCAATATCATCTTAGAGAGAAGTCAAAATAGTCTTGTCAAAGCATTTCTTCACCTGTGTGATGGCCCAAGCAGATCTTTCCATTTTTAAAAATGTCAATACTAGGAGAGGCAAGATGATGGAAGAGGAGGGGACCTCATTTCATCTGGTCCCCTGAATTAAGCTAGATAACTATAGAATCATTCTAAACACCTATGAATTCAACCTGAGATGTAAGAAAAGAAGTGCTGGAATTCTACAAATAAAAAAGCGACCACTTTTTGCAAGGTAGGAGTATGGAGAAGTGAAACTGAGGGGATTTATCGGGAGATAAACGGCAGGGAAGGGAGCCTCCGAAAGCTGGCTACTGGAAAATGATATAGCCCCCGAGGGCAAAAAAGCAGAACTTTTAGAAATCTGCTCCAGTGAGAGATGTCCCTGCCTGAAAGGTGCTGTGGTAAAGCAGGGCAGAATCGTAGGTGGGACAGTATGGGCTCAATATCCCCAGGGTGACAGAAAGAATGGGGGTACCTGAGCTGGCAGAGTTCCCAAGCATTGGAGCTGGGAAACCAGTTACAGTCAGCGAGCCCGGGAGGGGGCTCTCAGCTCAGTCTGCCATAAACTGTGAACCACTGCCTGATCTCATGACTGCTCTCTGTGTGGGGGCCTTGCAAAGGACAGTGATCTGGCAACCCTCTCCCTTTCCCGGGGAGGATCAGTGTGGGTATGCACAGCAGGAGTCTGCAGAGTTTGGGACACAGTGAGATCTTTCAGCTCTGGGGCTGGAGATGGAGGTGTGGCCATTTTTATTTGCATCCTCTAAAGAGGAATGAAAAGCCTGCTGGGAACAAAAGCCACAGAAAAACAGCTTACACTGAGCCCAGCCCTCTGGCAAGGGGGCAATGCAACTCTGCCCAGGCAAAGATACCTGACAATCAGTACAGCAGGCCCCTCCCCCAGAGGACTAGCTGGAAGAACAGGTGAAAAGCAAGTTTATGAATGAAACAGGACTGTAAAACTCCAGTGGTAGGGGAAAATAGTATACAGAATTTGAGGTTTTTTCTCATGATTCGTTTATCTTTCAGTTTAAAATTTTCCATTTTGTTTTTTTCTTTTTTCCCTCTTCAACTAGTTTCTTATTTTATCAACTCTTTGTTTCTAAGTCTTTTTTAAACTTTCATTTTTTACATTTACATTTTTTAGATATATTCTTCAATTTTGGCTTCCACTCACTGTATTCATTTCTATTTTTGTATGTATATAAGTTGTCTCTGTAAGAAAGAACTTTATAATTCTCTTTACAATTTTGGGATCTAGTGTCTTCTAACACACAGACCAAAATACATTCAGGACCAAGTGGATTACCCTGTCTTGTCCACCCTGGGAGATTATATTCTTTCTTCCCCCGCCCTGTTTTTTTCTCTTTCCTTCTTTTTCTCTTCTGTTTTGACTTCTGACCTCCTGGGATTTGTCTAGTGTGTATTTCGCTTGGGTTGAGGTTGGTATTTTTTATTTTGTTCATTCATTCATCCATTCTTCTCTGGGCAAAATGACTAGAAAGGGGAATTCACAACAAAAGAACGAACTAGAAGTAATACTCTGCTACAGATCTAATTGATATGGATATAAGTAAGATATCAGAGCTGGAATTCAGGATAACAATTATAAAGTTACTAGCGAGGCTTGAAAATAGCATAAAAAAGACACTAGCGAATCTCTTAGTGCAGAAATGAAATCTAATCAGTCCGAATTGAAAAATGCTCTAACTGCAATGCAATCTAAATTGGATGCTCTAACAGCTAGGGTAAATGAGGCAGAAGAAAGGCTAAGTGATATAAAAGACAAGTTGACAGAAAGGAAGGAAGCCAAGGAAAAGAGGAAAAACAACTAATGGACCATGATGGGAGGCATCGAGAAACCAGCAATGCTATAAAATGAAACAATATTAGAATTATTGGAGTCCCCAAATGTGGAACATATGAAATAGCATGGAAGACATTAGGGGAAGGAAGGGAAACCTGAAGTGGGGGAGATCAGAGGGGGAGGCAAACCATGAGAGACTATGGACTCCAGGAAACAATCTGAGGGTTTTAGAGGGGAGAGGGGTGGGGGGATGGGTGAGCCTGGTGATGGGTATTAAGGAGGGCACGTGTTGCAATGAGCACTGGGTGCTATATGTTCCATGAATCATGGAACACTAATCAGAAACTAATGAAGTACTGTATGGTGACTAACATAACATAATAAAAAAAATAAATGTTTTACTTTTTCTTATTTGTTTTCACAACATTTATAAAGCCTGTAAAACCCTTAGCTAATAATATGTCAGCAGTTTGTACTCAATAAATGATGTTTTAGGGGTAAAAAACAAAAAACAACAAGAAAGAATTACTGGAGTCCCTGAGGGAAAAGAAATAAAGAGAGGAACAGAAGGTATATTTGAAGAAATCACAGGTGAGAACTTTCCTACTCTGGGGACGGAAACAGGCATTTCAAGTCCAAGAGAGAGAGGACCCCTCCCAAAATCAACAAAAACAGATTAACACCCCAACATGTAATACAGAAGCTTGCAAATTTCAGAGATAAAGAGCAAATCCTGAAAGCAGCTCAAGACAAGAGGTTCTTAACATACAATGGTATAAACATGAGGCTGGCAAAAGACCTATCCACAGAGATCTGGCAGGCCAAAAAAGGAATGGCATGATATATTCAGTGTCCTAAATGAGAAAAATATACAGCCAAGAATACTTTATCCAGGAAGGCTGTCATTCAGAATGGAAGGAGATAATAAAGAGCTTCCAGGACAGACAGAAACTGAAAGATTATGAAACCACTAAACCAGCTGTGCAAGAAATATTAAGGGTGATCCTGTAAGCAAAGAGAGAGCCCAAAAGTAACAAAGACCAGAAAGAAACAGACAATCTAAAGAAACAGGGACTTTACAGGTAATACAATGGCACTAAATACACATCTTTCAACAATTACTCTGAATGTAAATGGACTAAATACTCCAATCAAAAGACCCAGGGTATCAGATTGGATAAAAAAACAAGGCCCATCCATATGCTGTCAACAACAGACTCATTTTAGACCTAAAGAGACCTCCAGATTGAGAGTGACGGGGCGGAGAACCATTTACCATGTTAATGGGCATCAAAAGAAAGCTGGGGTAGCAATCCTTATATCAGATAAATTAGACTTTAAACCAAAGACTGTAGTATGGGATAAAGAGGGATACTATATCATACTTAAAGGGTCTTTGCAACAAGAAGATCTAACAATTATAAATCTTTATGCTCCTAACTTGGGAGTAGCCAATAATATAAACCAATTAATAACCAAATTAAAGAAACACATTAATAATAATACAATAATAGCAGGGGACTTTAACACCCCATTTACAGCAATGGACAGATCATCTAAGCAGAGATCAACAAGGAAACAAGGGCTTTGAATGACACACTGGACCAGATGGACTTCACAGAGATATTCAGAACATTCCATCCTAAAGCAACAAAAAATGCATTCTTCTCCAGTGCACATGAAACATTCTCCAGACTAGATCACATACAGGATCACAAATCAGGTCTCAACCAATACCAAAAGTTTGGGATTATTCCCTGAGTATTTTCAGACCACAATGCCTTAACCCTGAACTCAATTACACACAGAAATTTGGAAGGAACGCAAACACCTGAAGAGCATCCTACTAAGGAATGAATGGGTCAGCCAGGAAATTAAAGAACAATGTAAAAATTCATAAAATTCATAAAAACAAATGAAAATGAAAACAACAGTTCAAAACTTTTGGGGGCGCCTGGGTGGCTCAGTTGGTTAAGCGACTGCCTTCGGCTCAGGTCATGATCCTGGAGTCCCTGGATCGAGTCCCGCATCGGGCTCCCTGCTCGGCAGGGAGTCTGCTTCTCCCTCTGACCCTCCCCCCTCTCATGTGCTCTCTCTCATTCTCTCTCTCTCAAATAAATAAATAAAATCTTTAAAAAAAAAAAACTTGGGATACAGCAAAGGTGGTCCTAAGAGGACATTGTAACCTTTCTCAAAAAATTAGAAAAATCTTAAATATATAAGCTAACCTTAAATCTAAAGAAGCTGGAGAAAGAACAGCAGCTGGTGAATTGTTGAACAGTACATCTGAAACTAAGTATGTACTATATGTTGGCTAATTGAATTAAAAAAAAAGTTGTGGAAGTATTAAAAAAAAAAAAAAAGAAAGAAAATTGTCAATATTATCCTTTGTGGCAGAGAGGCCCAGAACCTGGAAATTTTAGTAGTACCAGCACTACATGTTGCATTTCTCATTTTCATTTTTATATGAACACAATCTAAATTCTCTTTCTTTTTTCACAACCTAAATTCGTAGATTCCTGGTTTCCAGATATAGGACCTGGATATACACTCTGGTATAGGACATACTCTGCCTAGCATACTAGAAGCCTTTCTTTGAACTCAGTAATTAAAAAATAATGGTATAATCTAATTAAATAGCATACACATGACTTAAAATGGAAAAGAAGTAAACATATCAAATTCTCACAACCTTCACAATCGACGTTGAAGTTTGGGTTTTCTGAGTCCCCCAATTTATGTTTAGGTGCCCATTAGAAACGGTTTTGGGTTAAACCTAATGGCCTATTTTCTAGTATGCATGTGAAGAAACCATGAATATTTTTTCCTTCAAAAACCAAAATTCTGCTTCTCAGTAACAAAGTCTTCTACACTATTAATTAGCTTAATAGGACTTACCATAAGGTTTCCCGAATAACCTGTGTCTCAGTAACAAAAACTCTGTCATCTGGAACATATAATGGGTCACTGCTATACAAGTGTTGGTCCCTATTAGACAGCAAACATCAAATGTCAATGAAAAGGTTTCTCATGAAGTAAAATTACATGCATTAAAAAATATATGCATTTAGTGGTAATTAAACCAGTAATCAGTAAGCAAATATATTAACATGTTTTAAATGCCCTCCCATACTCATTTCTACATGTCAACTGTAATACTCTCAGAGAAGTACTTTCAGAACAATTCCGATTTTTTAAAAAAGATTTTATTTATTTATTTGAGAGAGAGAGACAGGGAGAGAAAACATGAGCAGGGGGGTGGTGAGGTGGGGGAAGAGGGAGAAGTAGGTTTCCCGCTGAGCAGGGAGCCCTAGGCGGGGCTGAATCCCAGGACCCTGGAGCCATGACCTGAGCTAAAGGCAGATGCTTAACCAACTGAGCCACCCAGGCACCCCAGAACAATTCCAATTACTACATTCATTGCTGACTTAGCCAAGTGTTTAAAACTATGTATTATTTTAGAAAACTAGTAATTGTATTTTTTAGTAGGTGCATTAAAACAGAAATCAAATACATGACCTAATTCATACCAATCCATTAGCTTTGAAAGTAACATATCAAAAAATAGACTATAATTAAATAATAATCTCATTTTTAAAATAATTAAGTAACTGAAAAATGTATTAAATTAGAATTGCTAAAAAAAATCTTAAATTTCAGAAAAGTATTTGACTTAAGTCATAAATGAAAAGCAAATATTAAGATATCAAAGTTTCTTCTATTAACACATTAAATGAAAAACTTAGCTTCTTACCAGAAAGCAGCTAAATTGGAGTGCAAATGTAAACTATGAGGAAACCTTGAGGATCTGGTTGTCCAGTACTGATGAACCACATGCTGTTCCAGCCAGCTTCGGCCATCTGTCTCATCTACTGGAATGATATTTAAAAAGTTTAAATTATGGGAGTTAACAAAAAAAACACTTGAGCAACTATGCCACAATTCTGGATTTATGACTCCATTCAAATAGTCAATTGAAAAAGGATCTTTAACTTACCAAACTCAACACCCATAAAACAAGTTAATACAGTTAAGAATTGGGCAGAAGACATGAATAGACATGTTTCCAACAAGACACCCAGGTGGCTGACACATGAAAAGATACCCAACATCATCATCATCATCAGGGAAGTACAAATCAAAACCACAATGAGATACCACCTTACACCTGTCAGAAAGGGGTAAAATTAACAACACAAGAAGAAAGAACAGGTGTTGGCAAGGAAACAGAGAATGGGGAACCCTCTTGCACTGTTGGTGGAAATGCAAGCTGGTGCAGCCACTCTGAACAGTTTGGAGGTTCCTCAAAAGTTAAAAATAGGGGGTACCAGAGCAAGATGGTGGAGGAGTAGGAGACCTGGATTCCATCTGGTCCCAGGAATTCAGCTGGATAGGGATCAAACCATTCTGAACACCTACGAACTCAACAAGACATCGAAAAAAAGAATAGCAACAACTCTCTGAACAGAAAACTGACCACTTTCTGGAGGGTAGGGCGTGCGGAGAAGTGAATCTGAGGTGATGTTCCGAGGGATAGACGGCGGGCCGGGGTGGGGGGCTTCCGTCAGCCGCTTTTGGCAAGTGATAGAGTGGCAGAGCACAAAATCGGAACTTTCAGAAGTCAGCTCTGCTGAGGGACGTTGCTCCAGTAGCTAAGCGGGGGGTGGAAACTCGCTGGGACAGTGTGGTCTCAGGACCTCAGGGTCACAGGAAGACCGGGGGTGCCTGAGTGCGGCAGAGCTCCCAGGTATCGGAGCAGGGGAAGCCGGCTGCAAAGACAGAGCCAAGGCCCCGGCTCTCAGCTCAGGGTTGCCATAAACCATGATCCAAGGCATAGTTGAGCCACTGCTCCTCCAGCAGGGACCCAACAAGTGGCAGATCCAGGGAGACGCCAGGAGGAGCAGCAAGGAAGCGCACAGAAGACTCTGCTGGGATTGGAGACTCCACACGGGGTCGGGTGCCAGAGATAGAAACACTCGGGTCACAGGCCGGGTGAGCACAGAGTGTGGCCGGAGACCGGAGACATGGGAGTGACTGACTGCTTTTCTCTGGGGTCTCACTGAGGAGTGGGGCCCCGAGTTGTCGGCTCCTCCGGGGCGGAGATTGGGAGGCCGCCATTTTCACTCCCGTCCTCCAAAGCTGTAGGGAAAGTTTGCAGGGAACAAAACCTCCCGAGAACAAACCCAAGCAGATTACTTAGCCCAGACTGGCAAGGGTGGGGCAATTCCGCCTCCAGCAAAGACATTTGGGAACCACGGCAACAGGCCCCTCCCCCAGAAGATCAGGGAGAATAGCCAGCCAAGACCAAGTTTACCCATCAATGAGAACGGCAGAACTCCAGCACTAGGGGAATACTGCACATAGAATTCACGGCTTTTTTCCCATGATTCTTTAGTCTTTCAAAGCTAATTTTTATTTTAATTTCATTCTTTTTGAATTTTTCTTTTTCCCTCTTTAAACCAACATCTTTATCAATCCTTTTAAAAAAATCTTATTCATTTTTCATTTTTAGAGTCATATTCTATCTGTTCATAGTAGTAAACCTTATTTTTGGTATATATATATATAAGTTGTTCTCTCTTTAAAATTTTGGATACAGTTTCTTCTAACAGACCAAAATATACCCTAAATCTCTAGTGAATGGCTTTGTTCTAGTCTCCTGCCTGATCACATTCTCTCCCTTTTTTCTTTTTAAATTCTTTTCTTTATTTTTCAACCAACTTATCTATTCCTTTTATAAAGTCTTTTATAATTTTCACCATTACAGTCATATTCAATCCTTTCATCAAATCAACCCTTATTTTTGTACATATATAAGTTTTTCTTTCTTTAAAATTTTGAGAGGCACTTTCTTCGAACAGACCAAAATACACCCAAAACCTAGTGTGTGGCACTGATCTATGCACCAGCCTGATCATATTTGATCATATTGTTTTGTTTTGTTCTGTTTTTGTTTTTATCTTTTTCTTTCTTTCCCTTTCTTTTCCCCCATCTTCAGGTCTTTTCTGATTTGTTTAGAGTATATTTTCTGGGGACATTGTTACCCTGTTAGCATTTTGTTCTCTCATTCATCTATTCTCCTCTGGAGAAAATGACAAGATGGAAAAAATCACTTCAACAAAAAGAACAAAGGGCAGTACCGACTGCCAGGTACCTACTCAATAAGGACATTAATACGAGGTCAGAACTAGAGTTCAGAATGATGATTTTAAAGATACTAGCTGGGCTTGAAAAACGCATGGAAGTTATTAGAGAAACCCTTTCTGGAGAAATAAAAGAATTAAAATCTAACCAAGTCGAAATCAAAAAGGCTATTAATGAGATGAAAAAAAAATGGA